CTAGAAATCGGCAACAAAACCAGCGATCTGATGACTGCTGTGAATGTCGATGGGAAGCGCTCTGGACCCAATAACCATCATTCTTAATACAACCACTGCATGCAGGATGCCTCCTGTGACCCAGTCCTAATCTGATCAGCCAGACTAGTATGAGAGGGCATAAACAAAGAAGAGATACTAATAAGACCAGCATCCACCGAGAGGGCCAATTGGGCTGTGTGGAGGGGTCTGATCCAGGGGCTGACTGACCATTTGGAAACTCGGGCACTACCCGAGGGCCCGGGGTCAGTAGGGGGCCCCATGAGATGCCCCTGGCACCTTTTTCATAGGTTTTTTTGAGTTTGGGCAAAGACATAGGGGCCTCATGATCCCCTATTGCCCCGGGGGCCCCATGAGTTGTCAGTCCACCCCTGGTGTCATCTTATCTGCTGTATTTCCTATCCTGACGGATCCATGAATTTAGAATCCATACAGAACATTTGCCCACACCAGGACACAGGAAATGTGCTCACTCTGACATGTCTGTGAAGGTATCTATGTATGTAGGTCACAGTGTATCTAGTAGTAAGAAGGAAGATGGGCGGGAGTGAACACATGCCGCTGCCAAAACTTACCCCCGCCCCCCCAAATTCTCATTCAAATGAAAGCTCAGTTGTGCCGTGCTAGTGCGACTTTTACAGGGGATAAATCAGATGCCTCCTCATCACCAAACGCCTCTCAAATCGCTTTTTAGAGATGCGGTAATGTTAGCTGCACGACGAAATCTGCATTCACACTCTAATAGTTCCCACTCGCGTTTTTTTTGTTGAGCAACTTGCACGTGATTTTGCTTGTCGCACATAGATAATAGTGGTGCACCGAAATTAAAATTCTGGTCCCGAAACCGAAAATTTAAAACGCACTTGGCCGAAAACCAAAACGTGCAGTTTTTAAAAAGGAATATATATATTTTGGAAAAAAATACACTTTTGATTAAAAAAAAATATATGCCCCAATTGTTTTGTAAAATATGTAAGAGGATGGTACAGCGAGTAAATAGATACCCAACGTGCCACACTTTAAAATTGTGCACGTTCATGGAATGGTGATGGCACCAAAACACACGTTGGGCAGAGATTGCCACATAATTTGGAATAGCAGGCAGAATTGCTGCGATTTTGCCTACAAATTCAGATCGGGAACTGTGAATGGAGCCTTAGCCTGCTTTCACACCAATCTGTTTCCATCTTTGGTCCCATAGATTTCAATAGGTGCTCCTGTAAAATGACCAAAAAGCTTTCAAAACTGGTCCTAGATGACTACAGCAGGCTGATCAAAAAAAAAAAAAAAAAAAAAGGACTGAACGGATTCCCGCATCCACACAAGTGGAGTAGATAGAGGAATTCTCCCCACGGTGTCATTGTGTTCTGACAGCAGGTGCTACTCCACTGTCAGAATATATGGATCAGTAATGCAGTTGATCAAACAAAAGCTTACCGTCAGTCCATTACAGGAGTCCTTATCAGACTGATGCCTCTTGAGTGGGATCACCCATAGACAGACTGAAATTCGGCTGGTCTTTGCTGCACTGGCCAAATGTTGATCCATCTATGGACAGCTAAAATCACCAGGTCTACACTCTGCTCAGGGGTGTATGGCCACCGTCACTCTTACTTTTGACTTGCATAGAAAAGTTTGGAATTTTAGCAAACAATACACCAAAACATAAAACAGACATCAGTAAATATATTTGGTTATTTAAAAACCCTGGGGACTGTTTTGAAACAATTTATACACAATTGGGCCCTGTTTACACAAGTGTGATTTCAAATGTTACTTGATTTGCACAGAATCGCATGGCAATGGAAATCACATTGTTTTCAATGGTGCCTAATCACATCAAATGCAACACTACTGCGATGCAACTTTGGGGGAGGTGCCTGTGCAATACAGTGTGTTTTTTGTGCCCCATAGACTTCAATGGAGTAGCAGCAAAACCGCATGTAGATGTGACGGGGGTGGGTTGAAGCGGCGCAGTCATTCGGCAGCAATCAATGATGGGTGACCCCACCCTTTTGTCTCCTTAGCGACTGGAGGAGGGGAGGGGGTGCAATGCGGTCGTTCGGTAGGAGCCAAGCGACAAAGCAGCTGTGTCAGCAGGTGGGTTTTTTATTTTTTTCATGTGCGTCGGTGGACGGCGTTCATCATGATTGACGTGGACCTACCGTACATCACTGGACTACATGATTGATGATGGCGGTGTATCAGGGAACTTTTTTTAAGCCACTTAAAGCGGAGTTCCAGACAGTTTTGTGTTTATTAAAAGTCAGCAGCTACAAAAACTGTATCTGCTGACTTTTAATAAACACACACTTACCTGTCCCGGGGTCCAGCAATGTTCTCACCCCGCGCCATCCCTTCTCTCCTTCTGTCCTCCATGGCGCCGGTATCTCTACTGTGGGCACCAGGCTGTGACAGTTTGCGGTTTCACAGTCTGGTGCCCACTGCACATGTGCAAGTCGCGCTGCACCTCCTAATTGGTCCGGCAGTCTCCTGGGACCTGTGACAGATCCCAGGAGACTGCGGGAGGGAGGAGGGGGCCGAACTGAGCGGTACCTGTCAAAACCAGGTACCCACTTCCCCCAAAAGGTGCCAAATATGGCAGTAGAGGAGGGAGTGGAGGCAAAGAAGTGGAGCTTCTACTTTTGAGTGGAACTCCGCTTTAAAGACCAGGACTTTTCTGGCATATTTTGTTTACAAAGTAACAATCAGTTTTTTTTGCTAAAAATTTCTTAGAATCTCCAAACATTATAAATTTGTTTAAAGCAGAGACCGAAGCGCAACAAGGGTGGGTGCTGCAACTTATAGGTCACACGGTATTTGCGCAGTGGTTTTTCAAACGTAATTTATTTATTTATTTATTTTTTTTAAACATCCACTTTTTTGAAGCAAAAAAAAAAAAAAAAAAAACAAACAATCTGAAACCCAATTTTTTTGGAAAATATAAACGATGATGTTACACCAAGGAAATAGATATCAAACATGTCACACTTTAAAATTGCACACGCCCGTGCAACACTGACAAATGGCGTAAATTTTACTATCCATAGGCGACGCTTTAAAGCCTTTACAGGTTACCATTTTAGATTTACATAGGAGGTCTGGTGCTAGAATTACTGTCCATGATCTGCCGTTCACACTGATACCTCACATGTGTGGGACGATTGTTGCCTGTGTGCACAAGGGACCACTGCAAATATTCACCTTTGCACGCGAGCATGGGAGGACGGGGGCACTTTACATTTTTTTTTCCTTCATTTTTACACTGTAGCTTTACATTTTTTTTAAATCTCTTTTATTGCTGTCACAAGGAACGTAAACAATCCTTGTGACAACAATTGGCCTCTGACAGGTACTCTTTATGGAGACATCTGGGAGATCAAAGATCCCTCTTTTGCCCTTAAAAGCATTTGATCATACCAAGATCTATGGGATCAAATGCTTTGCATTTTTAAAAATGGTGCCGTTTTCATCCAGGTAAACTGGAAGTGATGTAAGGTCATCGCTTCCGGTTCTCTATATCACAGAGGTGAACAGAGCACTTACAGACTTTGACTATATGATCAGACAGCGGAAGCGCCGGCTGGTTGATTGGGTGCCCCAGTGGGACTGGACAGGCCAATAACGCCATGAAAGACGACCCCCCCCCACCTGCTTGTCAAAGCAATCCAGGGGCCACTTGGCTTCTAGGATTGCTTTTACAAAAGAGACAACCAGCGGCTCAAAAAAAAAAAAAAAAACTATACCAGGATGATGTCTGTGGCTGCAGGCATCATCCCGGGCATACCCACGTCTAGCCACGTACCAGTACGTTGGTTAACCATTTGCCTACCGGGCACTTTTACCCCCTTGCTGCCCAGGACAATTTTTAGCTTTCAGTGTTGTTGCACTTTGAATGACAATTGTGCGATCATGCAACACTGTACCTAAATTTAGGGGCGGACTGACCATTTGGAAACTCGGGCACTGCCCGAGGCCCCGGGGTCAGTATGGGGCCCAATGAGATGCCCCTGGTACCTTTTTCATAGGCTTTTTTGAGTGTGGGCAAGGACACAGGGGCCCCATGATCCCCTATTGCCCGGGGGCCCCATGAGTTGTCAGTCCGCCCCTGGTCCAATCAAACTGTACAATCTCCTTTGAGCCCTGGTTCACACTGGATGGCAGTGCGACTTCATAGACATCTTTGTGACTTCATGCACACACGTCATTGTACGCTGCACCCCAATTCAGGAACAGTAGTGCAGGAACTACTTTTCTAATTGGTTCGATTCTGACGAAGTCACACTGATTAGAACAGTTCCATTGCTGATCATTGCATACGATTTGAACGGTCAAATCGCACAAGTCGTATCAGTGTGAACGGGGGGCTAAGGGCTCCTCTGATTGGATACACATCAGGTCTGTCCTCTATAGATTGAGTACATCTAAAGGAAATTGTACAATCACATTATATACAGTGTATAGTCAGCCTTACATTGCACTTGAGCTCCAGATTCCCGGAACTGAGATCTGCTCTGAGGCAGGGGAGGTGCAGCGGAAATTTTCTACCATTTTACATTGTTCTCCATCCCCAATGCAGAAAGACCCCGGTACACGGCTTGCATGGGATGTGTGCGGAGATTGCGCTGTCCACACTATCCTCCTACAACCAGGTTGGGGATGTCACCCTATACACGGTAGGATGAGGATTGCATCTTGCATTGGTACTGAACTTTGTGGAGGGATTGGACAGATCTGCAAAGTATGAGGATCCAGGATCGCACAGACATCGATCACACTGCCAGTACTAGCCATACACAAGCCGATCCAATGACATATAATAGAACAGACAGGCCCCGCCCCCACTCTGACATCTGTCTCCCTGCTCTGATCACTTTAAGACTGCCCTGTGTGTGGCCAGCCAGCCCCGCCAATCAAATAATCCCCCCATGCTCGGTGCCCAGGCTGGAAGCCGCACTCACCCCGGGGATGTGCTCTCCGGTTCCGGGAATCTGCTCCTCCTCCGACTTCTCTCCGGACAGGGCGGCGGCTGCGGGACTACTGACTCACTGGGGTAGAGCCTTTGGGCTGTCAGAGACAGCCACACCCCCTCCGGTCCCCTCTCCGCTAATCAAAGTAAGGAATTGACACTTCTATCCCCGCCCAAGGCACGTAGGAACGCCCATTTGAGTAAAGCAGCGCGACCGCTAGAGGCCAATGTGTACGGAAAACACGTCGCCAAATTCTTTAGCGAACGGCCATGTTCTTGGAGGTTTCGGTTCATTATGGTTAAGTCTTAAGACTTCAACAACATGGCTGAGAAACTGCAGACACAGTCATATTCTTTACTACATGTATAAAGGAGTATACTGTACAGCGGGGATACCCTGCAGGCACTGGGTGTGTTTTGTGGCGATGATGATGTAGAGTGTAGATAACACATCTGCTCTTCCTGGTAGATTCACTATTACCAACCCACACCCCACTCTGCAGCACACTCATCTGCAGGATTATTACCTGGAAACTGGCCACAGGAGGAGAACCTGTCATCCAGGATGTAGTGTGCACCATGACTGTCAGCAATGTCACTGCCCCCCAAATCACCACACAACCTGACTGTCCTTCAGGGCTCCTTTACATCAGATGCATTTATAACCACCACTTGCCCTCCAGAGGATCCCCCCCCCCCCCTCCTGACCAGGCCATTTTTTGTGATATGGCGCTGCGTTACTTTGGCAATTGTGCAGTCATGCAACGCTGCACCCAAAATAAATGTATGTCCTTGTTTTTCCCACAAATACAGCTTTCTTTCGGTGGCATTTGATCGCCTCTGCATTTTTTATTTTGTGTGTTATAAACAAAAAAAGACTTACAATTTTTTGAGAAAAAAACAATATTTTTGACTTTTTATTATTAAACATATCCAGTAAAAAAAATGTCATAAATTTAGGCCAAAATGTATTCTGCTACATCTTTGATAAAAAAAAAAATCCCAATATGTGTTAAGTTATTTGTTTTACGTAAAAGTTATAGTGTTTACAAATGGCGGTATATGTACTGGAAATTTTTTCTTTTTATGGTTGCTATCAGTGACATAGCGGGACTGTGGCAGGCATTCTGACACTAACTGACATTGACTAACTGCCACTGACATCCCAAGTGACATTAATACAGTGATCAGTGCTAACAAAAAGCACTGACACTGTACTAATGGCACTGGGCAGGAAGGGGTTAACATCTGGGGTGATCAAAGGGTTAACTGTGTGCTGTGTGTGTTTTACTGTGTAAGCACATTGCTTTGTATATAAAGCAGTATGCTGGAGCTGACAGGGGAGAAATCTGTATTGTTTGCATACAGACCTCTCCCCCATCAGTGATACTCAGTGACCGCCAGGTGCCGGTGAGGAAACTCCAGCCAGGACCCGGTGATTGACAGGTGAAGCCGCCAATGGAGCACCCCCTACCCGTAAATGCAAAATCACGTATATATACACATGATTTTGCGGCGCCTTGTAGCAGTATTTCTATTATGCTGCGGCGGGCAAGCGGTTAAATGCAGTGTAAATGCAGTACAAACATATACATAAGAAAATGTATTTCAAGGAGCCTAGTGCACGCAATTGCAGTGCGTTCATTTGCATTTTAAAAAAGAACAGCGTGCGCATTTTTTTGCACTGGGACACGCAAAGAACACACAATCAATTGGAATTGTACTTTGAATGCATGTGAACACACACAAACACGTAAACACAATGTAGTAGAAAAATAATCCAGTAAAACATCATGACCACATGTAAATGCACATGTGTAGCGCTACCCCCCTGACCAATCTGTCCCTGGAGTAGAACGGCAGTCCCCCTGTGTGCAGCTCCGAATCCTGCACCAAGAGAGAGAGAGAGACAGTCCCGTGCTGTAGACTACATCTGCTCCCCCAGCAACCTCTCTGGTAGTTGTAGTTCAATCAGCACTCAGAAATACAGGATGTATTGGATATAAGACTACAGGTCCCAAGATCCTCTGCTGTCAGAAGAACTGGATCCGCTCTGCTAACAGGAAGTGATGTAGCAATCCCAGTACTGGGCACTAGGGGGAAAAGGAGTAATCATAGTCTCTTCTGTAAACGTCCCTGAATGACATGATGATTTAGTCGGCACCTGGCTACACATGCAGAAATACACAGTAAACACAGGGATTATGATGTCAATGAAAGGTTCCTTAAAGTGGACCTTTAGTCAGAAAATAAAGTCCTGCTAGATTTATTTATTTCAGGTACTTATATAGCGCTATCAATTTACACAGCGCTTTACATATATATTGTACATTCACATCAGTCCCTAACCCTCAAGGGGTCTACAATCTAAGGTCCCTAACTCACATTCATGCATACACATACTAGGGACAATTTAGACAGGAGCCAATTAACCTACCAGCATGTCTTTGGAGTGTGGGAGGAAACCGGAGTACCCGGAGGAAACCCACGCAGCCACAGGGAGAATCTGCAAACTCCAGGCAGGTGGTGCATGGTTGGGATCACTGCTAGATCACATGCTGGCCCCTTCTGCAGGTATAGCTATGTAAAACATTAACAATAAGTGTGTACACCAGTATTACACTGTCTCACCCTGTTCTGCACATGCTCAGTTGCTCTCTAATTTTAGGCACTGTGCCGAATTTGTGGAGGCCGATCTGACAGCCTAAGGGCCAGTTCACACTACATGCGTTTCAGTTGCCTTTTTTTCTGCATCCAAAACACACAACAGCGCAATAATGTACAGTGCAGTATACAGAGTAGAGTATATAATGTATAGCACAATATACAGAGCGGAATGTTGTGAAATATATAATGTGCAGCACAGTATACATAGTGCAGCAGTGAAGTGTAGATAATGAGCAGCACTCTATACAATGTTGAGTAGTGTGAACTATGTAATGTATGGTACAGTGTACAGAGTGGGAAAAGGAAGCACAGATAATGTGCTACACAGTGTACAGAGTGGAGCAGTGTGGAGTATTTATTGTATAAAGTGGAACAGTGTTTGACATTTAAAATGTACAGCACAGTATACAGAATGGAGCAGTGTGGAGTATAAAATGTACAGCACGGTATACAGAATGGAGCAGTGTGGAGAATATAATGTACAGCACGGTATACAGAATAGAGTGGTGTGGAGTATATAATGTACAGCACAGAATATAGAATGGAGCAGTGTGGAGTATAAATGTACAGCACTGTATACAGAATAGAGTGGTGTGGAGTATATAATGTACAGCACAGTATACAGAGAGGAGCTGTGCGGAGGAAAAAATGTACAGCACAGTAAACAGAATGGAGCAGTGTGGAGTATAAAATGTACAGCACAGTATACAGAATAGAGTGGTGTGGAGTATAAAATGTACAGCACAGTATACAGAGTGGAGCTATGTGGAGTATATAATGTACAGCACAGTGTACAGAATGGAGTGGTGTGGAGTATATAGTGTACAGCACAGTGTACAGAATAGAGTAGCATGGAGTATATAAGGTACAGCATAGTATACAGAGTGGAGCTATGTGGAATATATAATGTACAGCACAGTGTACAGAATGGAACGGTGTGGAGTATATAATGTACAGCACAGTATACAGAATGGAGTAGCATGGAGTATATAATGTAGAGCACAGTATACAGGGCACAGTATACAGAATGGAGTGGTGTGGAGTAGATAATGTACAGCACAATGTACAGAACGAAGTGGTGTGTAGTATATAATGTACAGCACGGTATACAGAATGGAGCTATGTGGAATATATAATGTACAGCACAGTGTACAGAATGGAGTGGTGTGGAGTATATAATGTACAACACAGTGTACAGAATGGAATGGTGTGGAGTATATAATGTACAGCACAGTATACAGAATGGAGTGGGGTGGAGTATATAAATGTACAGCACATTATCCAGAATGGAGTGGTGTGGAGTATATAATGTACAACACGGTATACAGAATGGAGCTATGTGGAATATATAATGTACAGCACAGTGTACAGAATGGAGCGACATGGAGTATATAATGTACAGCACAGTGTACAGAATGGATTGGTGTGGAGTATATAATGTACAGCACAGTATACAGAATGGATTGGTGTGGAGTATATAATGTACAGCACATTATACAGAATGGAGTGTTGTGGAGTATATAATGTATAGTATAGTGTACAGAATGGAGTGGTGTGGAGTATATAATGTACAGCACATTATACAGAATGGAGTGGTGTGGAGTATATAATGTACAGCACATTATACAGAATGGAGTGGTGTGGAGTATATAGTGTACAGCACATTATACAGAATGGAGTGGTGTGGAGTATATAGTGTACAGCACATTATACAGAATGGAGTGGTGTGGAGTATATAGTGCACAGCACAGTATACAGAGTGAGGGTGTGGAGTATATAATGTTATGGTTGATGTTGGGCCTTGACCTAACACTGACATAATCCCTAAACCAAGACAGTAGTTCTGTATAGATAATATAATATAAAATGCAGAGCAACACAAAGCAGCATGCTGGAGCTGACAGGGGAGAGCTCTGTATTGTACAGTATACATACAGACCTCTCCCCCATTAGCGATACTTGGCTAGGGCCTGGTGATCAACAGCTGAAGCCACCAACGTGATTTTGCACAGCCGTGCCGCCCTGTAGCAATAGTTCTGCTATAGGACGGTTGGGAAGTGGTTAAATAAAAACAGGTTTTATATTTACCTGTGCTGCACAATGAAATTCCACAGAGAGCCCCCCAAACCTCCTCTTCTTGGGTCCCCACTGGTGCTCATCCTCTCCTTGTGTGTGTGTGCCACACACAGTGTATACTTGCCGTCCTGGGTTTAGTGGCATCAGAGCCCCTACCCTACGCGTTGCGCCACAGGTCAGGTGCCTTCGTCAGGGGGATATGATTTGACGTTCACCTTACCCATACTGATTTATATAGCTGCTAAGTGCCATTTTGTTGTAGTATTCCTGACCGTGGCCATCTTTTTAGGGTCAATTTGTATATATCGATCTATATCTTGCGGCACACACACACGGAGAAGGAGTTCTGTCTTGTTTAATATACTTACAAAGCACAAAATGTTTTTAAAAATGTGAGTGCATTACTGGGCATGAAATAAAGCATATTTTATCAAAGGATAAGGCACTATATCTGCTTGTCTTTTTTGAATATTAATACGGAGGAGACTCTAGGAAAGGATCGGGGAGACAGAGGAGAAAACTTGCAGCATCAGGAGGGAGAGATCCAAGCAATCATATCCACATAATAGGAGAGGATTACCAAGGAGCACACGGGATATCCATCATCCTCCAAAAGTCCCAATTAAAGATTTCATCAAGTTCCAATTTGTGAACACAAAGTGTTATTAGCCAAAATACATTAGACTTATAAGGAGGTGAGCGCACAACATATAAGAAGTACACAGGATTTCATAGTTTTGGACTTATGGATTTATGGGACTATTGTTGATAGATTTATGCAATATTTTCACAATTGTATATATTTTTAGATTTTTTTTTTTTAGAGTTTTAATAATATTGAGTATAACCACATGGCACATATTAATTATATTAACTATTTAATTTGATTTAAATCACGAGGATATAATTTATGATATGATATTTATCTGGAGCGCGACATGCTTCCTATGGTGACACACCTGTGCACTCAATCCCAAGCCCCGCTGCCTGTGTCCGTTGATACAGACAGCAAGACTCGTCCCCCGCACCCTCGTCACAAGATTTGACTGACAGCAGAGGAAACCAGTGTCTCCCACTGTTCTCAGAAAAGCCTGTAAAAACAAGAAGAGAAGAGAGCTGCTGCAAATGTGCACTGTGTTGCATCGAGATTGGATACTTTAACCTAAACATTTTTTTACCCTAGTGCAAGGAATGCATTAAAGTGGTTGTAAAGGCTGAAGGTTTTTTACCTTAAAAAACCCCTGCACACCCCCCCCCCCCAATACTTACCTGAACCTGATCTCAGTGCAGCAATGTGCACAAAAGGTCTCTCTCTCCTCATTGGCTGAGACACAGCAGTGGGAGCACGCAGAGGAGGCTTGGGAGTGAGCATGTACGAGTGCCCCAGAGCAAGCAGCTTGCCCTGGAAGCACTCAGCAAAGGGCCAGAAGCACCAGCGGCAGATCCAATCAGAGGAGGTTCGTGGCTGCTCTAAGCAAAACCATTGCACAGAGCAGGTAAGTAAGATGTGCTTATTATTTTAAACTTTAAAAAAAAATCAAGCCTTTTAAT